ATCAGCATGACTCTGCCAAGATGCCTTTTTTCCCATTCCAGACGTTTTAACTAAACACAGGTGAAACTGATTACATTACTATTGCCTAAGAAGTATTTTCCAGCAATCCGCAACACACCTTTCTCATTGCACTTATTATATGGGATTAGTTTTGTTTCATAAAGATAAAACAACACTTTCTCAGAATCAAGCAAAACTAAGAGTGTAAGAGAGAACAAAACTGAGTCAAGCTAAATACATTTCATTTAAAAAATGAAATTATAAGTTGCAAACAAATCATTTGTGTAATCATGTAAACTATAAGTATTTTCTCTTTGTTTTGCCATGTCTTTTTGTTTGCAGTTCTCTTTGCTTCTTTCTCAATGATCAGACTTTTTCTCTGCTGCAGCTCTTCTCTTTTGCGCTCCCTCATTTTTTGTTTTCGATTTTGACACAAACATCCCAGGTGGGCGGGACTTTCAAGGGTGCGTCCCCATTGGCTACTCAGTTTTTGAGTGACAGCCCACTACACCACAGATCATACAGTGCAACTCATGCAGCAAACTCCGGAGTCCACTCGGCCACGTTAGTGTCGGTGTCTCCTGGGGAGTTTTCATGAAAATATCGGACTTCTCTTATGGATTGCTGTGCATTATACTTATGTTGTGTAGTTTATACTTTATTCCAACTTTAAATATTTTAATATCTGAACACACTGCTGCTGTTAAATAATTTCCCAATTTGGGATTGATAAAGTGTCTGTCTATTTATTTTATAGATAAAAAACACATCTATGTATTTTCAAGCTAAAGGTGATAAACAATATAAACTGCATACTGTTATTTTTTCAAAGACATGTTACATTTCAAAAGCACATATTGCTATGTGTAGGACAAACAATTAAAGACGTGTGAAGCTGACCGTTGAGCGGCCCGACCAAGCAAGGAGGCAGAGGCAGAGGCAGAGAGTTCAAATATAACCCGGTGTGGGCATTTATTAAATCATGGGCACATGATTTACAGCCTCAATATGACTGTTACCCGTGAACACAGTCACCAGCATACGTATCTCAGTCACAGTGCTGGAATTGGGCCGGTACTCACCGGTACGCAGTACCGGCACTTCTGGTTCTGACCCATGGAGTACCGGCACTTCTTGCTCAGTACCGGCATGCTGGCGGTACTCCGGTACTCATGCACCGTGCCAGTACTCAACACTCTCCCGCCGTTCTTATTATACATCCATATATATATATACAGCCGCCCGGTACTCAGTAGATGCGTCATGAGGTGCCGAACGGACATTCTCATCGCTCTAACCGCTGGAGTTTCACAGCGGCTGTCAGCTGTTTACTCCTGTCATTCAAACAGAACGTGCTGGAGAGGGGGCGGGGCTTATCTTCTCCATGTAAATACTGTGGTGGAAACGACTATGTCAAAATTAACCTATTTGACCGTGATTTAATAGTAATACACGTTTCAAAATAATAATAATAATAATGCCGAAGTAACAACATACTGAAAACTGTTAGTAAAACCATGTTTTAATGCTTTACAATTTACATACCTAGATGCACGTGTGTTGTGTTTATGCAGTGCAACTCCCACCCAGTGGGTGGCTATGTAGAGTGATAGAACAGAGCAGGCACGCCCCCGAGAGAAGGAAAGCAAGTCACGTCACAAATTAGCATTTCTAAAATGTTAGCGTGGATTAATAAAAGTGCAAAAAGACAGCGGTTGTCGCCGGAAGAAACTTCAAATACAGAGAATGCTGTGCCTGTGTTGGAAATTGTGTCTGATGGGGAGCTTTCTTTGGTTGATCCTCCTGCTCCAAGTTCTAGTGCATTAGCATTAGCACTAGCTCCGCCGCCTCCTCCAGAGCCTCTAACGTTAGCTGCTGCTGGCGCAACTGCCACCACCAACACCGGGCAAAGCGATGCACCTGACTGCTGGACAACGGACCAGGTGCAATATTTTTGCAAGACCAATGCATGGCTCCTTCTTAAAGATAAGAAGCTAGGATGTCGGATATGCAGAGATGTCAAATCTTTGGGAATACACACTGGACAAGGACTGAAACTGTCAACTGAATGGGGTGAGTGTGCAGTGTCTCATTTCGGTGTTGACAAGGGCAAACAACAAGCTAGCCTGAGAAAAAAAATCAAAGAACATAATGAATCACAAGCCCATGTAAAAGCTGCTGACATCCTTACATCTGCTTCACGTGAAACTATTCAACATCAAGTGCAGTCTATGCATAAATCTGAATTAGACACCACTATCAGAGTTTTTCGAACAGCATATAAAATTGGCAAACATAGCCGGCCATTCACAGACATGCCAATTGATTTGAATGTACAGAAACTGAATGGGCTGAACGTGGGCAGGGTTTTGCACTCCAATAAAACCTGTGGCGAAATCATCGACCACATAGCTCATGAGCTGAAGAAAAAAATGGCAAAAGACATTACAGAAAACCAAAGAAAACTCTGTGTTTTGGTCGATGAATCTACCACTATTAGTGGTAAAACGGTGCTTGTTGTGTGTCTACGCTCAGCATTAGCTGATGCTGAGCCCGAAACGTTTTTTTGGGAGCTGATCGAGTTGGATGGAACAACGGCTGATGACATCACAAAGGCGTTAATGGAGTGTCTTGGAAGAGATTTAACGAGGACTTTTTAGGTCAGTGTTTCATTTCTTTTGCATGTGATGGGGCTTCAGTCATGCTAGGGAAGAGAACAGGCGTTGCTACCCAGTTGTGTAGTAAATTCCCAAGCCTGTTTGTGTGGCACTGCTCCAATCATCGTCTAGAGCTGGCAGTTGGGGATGTGGTCAAGGAGGTCTCAGGGCTCAATCATTTCCAGATCTTTTTTGACAAACTCTATTCCTTGTTCCATGCCTCCCCCAAAAATCAGAGGCAGTTAGCGCAGTGTGCGCAAGCAGTCGGACAGCGTCTCCTGGTGATAGGGCGTGTTTTGTCCATCCGCTGGGTGGCTTCAAGTGAAAGGAGCGTCAGAGCAGTCTGGGAAAACTACCGAGTGCTTCATGATCACTTCACAAATGCTGCAAACGACACGAGCAGGGATTCCAGAGACAGAGCGAAGTACAAGGGCCTGGATGATGTGCTCACATCTGCAACGTTTGTCAGCAATCTGGGACTGATGTACGATGCGCTCACAGAGCTCAGCGACCTCTCTCGGCAACTCCAAAAAAGAGAGATGACACTGCCTACAGCAGATAGGCTCTTAACTCGAGAAATACGAGTTTTTGAATCCATGGTCACCATGCCTGGCCCACACATGACTACAGTTCATACAGCTCTAGCTGAGAAGTCCTTCAAGGGTGTTGCCCTGCGTGAGAATGGCAGGCTTGTACAGATTCATGCAGGTCAGTTTTTCCACAGTATGGTAGAGAATCTGAGACACAGAATGACTTCCACAACCTCCTCTCATGTCAGCACAAGAGAAATCCCATTACATGGCCGGGAGGCCCGGGACAATCAGCTAATCCAGGACATGAAAGTTATCCATCCTGGAAGTTGGCCTGAAGAGGAGTTAGACGTACAGTATGGGGACATAGAGGTGCTACGTTTGTGCGAAGTGCTGAAAGTGGACAGAAGAGAGACTGTTCAGGGCTTTCGCGAATACAAGGAAACCAGGGCATCCCGTACACCTGCTGCCATGGAGCCTCTACTGAAAGCAGTCCGAACCATCGCTGTCTCCACTAGTGAGTGTGAGCGGGCATTCAGCTGCATGAACGATATCCTTACTGCAAAAAGGAATGCTCTCTCTGTCAGCTGACTGTCCAGCCTGGTTTTCATTAAATGTAATGGACCATCACTGGACAGTTCAATCCGGAACAGTATGTGAGGTCCTGGCTGGCAAAGGGAAGGAGAAGTGCTGATGAAAGAGCCTGTCCAGCTCCAGCCCCTGATACTGATGTCCCCAAGGCCTTCTGGAGCCTTTTCTAACAATGTGAAGTATATTGCAAAGCAGCTCACCCAGTGAGAAGACTTTTGGCATAATGTGCCGATTTGTACAGATCCTGGAGATAGAAGGACTTCAGACCAACCAGGGAGTTATCTGATCAGCTTGGTGTTCAATGTAACTCTTTACCATGGCTCAGACTTTGTTACTTGCAGTTACAGTTTTCTCATTTTAGATTGTGCAAATTTTGCATTTGTTTTTACATGTTCTTTGTTCATGCTCTTTATCATTTTTCTGAGTTGGAAAGTTAGATTGCATCATAGTTTACTTTATACATATTTGTATTCTTCAGTGGTGAAGTATATTGCAAAGCAGCTCAGCCATGTGAGAAGACTTTTGGCACTTTTTCGTTTTTCGTTTTCTGAGTTGGAAAGTTAGATTGCATTCAAAATGTACAGAAATACTTAATTTTGTTAAAGCTTTTTATAAAAAATGCTTCTGACCAGAGCTTTGTTTCCTTGTCATTAATGTTGAACACCACCAGAGGGGCTCTCACCTGAAAGGTCTCTGCTTCATGTGTCTTCAGCAGAAGATCTAGACTTTGATTGCTATATTTTCAGTTAATATTGACCTTACTGAGCTTTAGCCATATCCGCTGCCTATCATAAAAAATGTTAAGTACAGTGAACCTTTCTAAAATAGACAGTAGTAAAGAGACAAACCCACCAGCATTATAGTTGTATATATAAAATTGACTTGAAAAAGTTGCTGATTTTAGAGTACTGGCACCTTTTTCATTCCAATTCAAGCACTGAGTCACACACACACTAACAGGAAAAACAGAGCCTAAATACCCACAGACTAATCAAGCCAACAAGACACAGGTGAGGGGGGAGGAGACAACATAGGGCACCAGGTGAACACAATCAGCAGTAACAGACAAGACGGGAGGGGGAACACTTTTCAAAGTAAAACCAGGGAACAAATCAACATACTTCGCCAATAAGGACGACACAATCCATAACGGAGGCCGAGATCTATGGCCCCAAAGATCACCTCCGTTACAGACTGCTTTAATTAAAAAAATTCTACAATATAAAAGTGGCAGATTTGCTTTATTAAACAGATCAGACCTAGGAACATGCTCACATCTTACTATGTTGGTCTGAAGAGCTGAAGCATTTATACACAATGGATAAAAACTGTGTTGTCTCATTCTATATCATGTGAGAAAATGATATAGCCTACATTTAGCATTACAAATTCGACTTACTATTCCTAGCCTGAGGAAGATATGAATAATCAACAGATTTGAATGGAATCTCTAACATTTTCATGTAGAATAAAGACAAAAGAGTGATTATACAAATTAAATGTATTGAAATTTTAACTAGAAGATGAAGTCTTAAAGAATGTTTTAAATAAAAGGACATAAAACAAAAAGGTGGATAATAAAATCTATTAAATTGATATGTAAAGACATTTGGTCAAATGAAATGACACTGAGCCAGTGATAACATCTACGCCCATCGTGGATGAAGCTGGTGCAGGTCTTTCTTCATGCCCCCCCTCCGTGCTGTCCCCTCAGAGGAAGTGGGAAAACGGGATAAGACTCTGGACACCACGCTGTCTCAATGATCCACACTGTTAATATGAGAGGAAAATAAATGTTTAGGAAATGAAAAATATGAAGTTAACAAATGAAACTCAGCTCAGGGGCAGTCATGGACGGTAGGTTTTCCTACAAAGTTAACTCAGCCTCCATTGATTTTCATATCAAATTAGCGTGTTAATAAAATAAGCTATCATGGCTTATACTTGCATATCTAAACAGAATCATGAAAGCCTGTTGGTAGAGTCAGGCACACAAGTCCGTTTGAGTGTGTGCGCCGGTGTCTGAACGCTCACTCACTGCTAGCTATGTAGCTAAATGTCCCTGCTGTTAGGCTACTTAGCTTGCATTGTTATGGATCTAAACTTTCTAAAGGTAGCAAAAGCTAACTTTCACAGCACAGCTTTTCTTTACTTCTCACTTAACACAATAAAGAAACAGACCGTATAGTACAGCACCAGGGGCGGATCAAGAAAAATATTCATGGAGTGGCAAGAGGGTGGCAGGAGAATTTGAGGGGTGGCATCCCCTGGCAGAAGTATATGCTGATTTAATCGCAGTCATATCAATTAATGTTAACTTGGAAAGCCACAATATTGATATTTTAACTCAATAACATTAGGTGACATTATGGTGGCACATCAGTAAAGCCTTACATATAAATATAAGGTGGCAGACATAATTTAATTAATTTTAACTGAAGAATAACTGAATGAGTTTGTCTCACTCTTAGACCAGCAGGGGTACTAACTCGCAGACTGCTGCAATAAGTACATTAATTAACTGTCTCGTTGATGTTTGTCTGAATTAATATGATACTATTAACAATCATATTATTCCTATCAGCTGTCAATCACTGTTATGATTCACATATTAAGTGTTATTATTAAATAAACTATATTTTTTGGAGGAGTTAATGATGAATGTTCCTCAAGATGCTTGCTCACCCTCCTTCAAATTTGAAAGACAAGTAATTACTATCATAAATCAAAAGAATCAAAAGAACAGTTCAGCGCCCCACAACTTCATTGCAAACAGTTACAACCTTGACTTTACATCAGAAAGAACAAACATTAAGGAAGTGACTAACTGCATCAGTTAGGGTTAAAAAACGTGTATTCAGCTAAAACATATATATCGCTGCAGTTATTATCCAGTGGAAAGCCCTACTGGCCTAGTTAAATTAAAGTGGTTACTTTTTTTTGGCTGGGCAGTGTAGTTTTACACACCGTCTTATTTGACTTTCTCAGGACTTTAAACTGTTTTTTGGGGGCAGACCCCCACAAAGAAGAAGAATGTTTTACACACGTAAGGTCATTATCTTAACCAGTGGTGTAAGTGGTCGTTGGACGCGGGCGATCGCCGTCCCCCCACTTATTTGGAGCTGCCACTTTTTTGAAGCATGATTTTTTTTTTAATAATCTAATAAATATTTAAATAATTGCCAGTGTTATCGGTTGCAAGTGTGTATTTGTTGTAATAATGACGAAAACATCATACATTTCACAGTAATAAAAACGTAGCTCAAGTATTTATGCAACTTGATGATTTGAAGCGTGTGTATGTGTGTGTGTGTGTGTGTGTGTGCGTGCGTGTGTGTGTGTGTGTGTGTGTGTGTGTGTGTGTGTGTGTGTGTGTGTGTGTGTGTGTGTGTGTGTGTGTGTGTGTGTGTGTGTGTGTGTGTGTGTGTGTGTGTGTGTGTGTGTGTGTGTGTGTGTGTGTGTGTGTGTGTGTGTGTGTAGGGTGACCAAGTGTCCCTCATTGTGCGGGACTGCACACACAGCTTTTTTATCATTTGTCCCGCGTCCCACAAATTGAGACTATGTCCCGCATTTGAGTGACAGTCGCGCAGAAAGGCCGGCTCGGTTCGCTGACGGCCGGTGTTGTGTCAAATGATGCACCCCCGTCGTGAAATGCACCCCTTGACACAGGCACAAAAACATCTATGAATGTGTATGGGACACTTAAGTGCACAATATAACATCCCCCGTTTTGCGCTATGCCACTGATCAACTGGCTGCCATGCAGATATAATTGAATTCAGAAAGTCAAGCTGGCAAATGTGTAATGAGTAAGTTAATACTGTGTTTGTGTATGTGTATAGAAACATCCCAGAAGGAACCTGTGTCCCAGTAAGCCTTGCTTTGAGTCAGCAATTTGAGTCAATTCACATTTTAGAGGTTATGTTTAAGGTGATGTTGCACTGACCTCTATTGGTCAGTTATTTTAACGACAGACAACATCAAACCATCACCTGGTCAACAGTGTTTCATGATTTATTGTACTGTAATGTATTGTTCTGTTCAATATCAATCAATCAATCAATCAATGTTTATTTATATAGCCCAATATCACAAATGTTACATTTGTCTCAGTGGACTTTACAGTTTGTACAAAATATCAGTATGACAATACGACACCCTCTGTCCTTAGACCCTCACATCGTACAAGGAAAAACTTCCGAAGAAAACCCACAGTTTAAAGGGAAAAATGGGAGAAACCTCAGGGAGAGCAACAGAGGAGGGATCCCTCTCCCAGGACGGACAGACGTCAATATGAGTCTTTACTAAAGTTTGGAGACCATTGGTCACATAACCATGGAAGCCAAGTTCCCATATACAGTACATTGCACAAAATGTCAAGGGGCCCTGTCAAGTAAACGTGTGAACATTTTTAAGCTGCTTATGTGAGTTAACCCAGCACACCCCAGCAGTTATGGCTCTAACCCCACTTTAAATGTTTTGCCAACACTGTCACATGTTCTAAATGTTTTAAAATGCATTCTTCCTGAATTAAAGAAACACCTGTATGAGAGGATATTGATTTTAAATTGAAATGGTTTGTTCATGCAAACAGACACATTTAGAAGAAACTGAACACTAAATGCAATGCTCCTCTATTATCAATCCAAAATCTAACTGTGGGCCCTCAGAGACCCATATTAGTAAAACCATAAAGTTTAAGAGTGTTAAAGAGTGCAGTGAACTGAGGGTGCTTTGCCTTTCCGCTCATTTCTCTTCTCCTCACAACGAAGCACAAAGCCGATTGGAAGTGAACTGCTTCCCCGGCTGCTTTTCTAAAGGCAGAGGGGGCACTGCAGTGAACAACGGGCACTGCCGTTCAACCCCCGGCCCTACAGGAAGTGCTGTAGGGTTGCTATGCAGCTCTGCTTTCAAACCACAAGAACTCCGGGATTCCTGTTAACAAATGATGGCAGTATGGCAAACCATTTGAGCAGGCCCTCCAGAAGGGATACAGTAAGAATAGATCAAGGGTGGGATGAAAGAGAGTTACAGTAATGGTTTATCCCTGGCTTCAAAGTAGTGTTGGGTGCATGGCTTCGTCTCCTTTCTTCCTCTCGTTTCCTCTTTCCTTAGTCCTTTCTCTTTCCCCCTCCACTTTCTCTCTGTCTGTCCCTTCTGAAGTTGTTCCCGCCATTCTTCCCTCAGGGCTCTCTCGTTGCTTTAGTCTTTTTGTGTCTCTAGTTTTTGCCCACATTCAACCTCCTTTCACTTCCACCCAATGGCCCATCTCCCCTTCCGTCATAGTTTACATTTTCATTTCCTCTCTTGTAATTTCCACTTCTAAAACTTCAAACATGAGTGTATCTACATGCTGTACAAAAGACAATCCAATAGCACCTCAGTAGATCATATGAGTATGCCATACCACCAACCCGGTATCACGGCAAGACGTGAACATGTGACGATTTACCATGCTGGGAGACGTGAACATGTCACGGTTTCGTCCCCTTCAAACGTGACAGCTACACGGTATTGTTAACCCATGTTAACCAGTGGAGAAATAACCGGAAATACCAAGCAAATGCTACCCCGACGTAATGATTTATTTTTTCATAGTCACACTCGATTACAGCGATGTTCTTGTTGCCCCAGCTGGTCGACACCTCTTTTAGCAGAAACAAAGGCTACATTAATGTATTAAATCGATGTTAATCCATGCGTGTGGATGTGGAATTAACGGACGTGACGTTGTGCGATTGAGTTGCCAAGCAACAGCTTCGGTTCATGTTAATTTACAAACTATTCAACTACAACTGTAGTTATATTTAAAAACATGTTAGAAGGCCTCACGAAATACTTTAATGCACATTAAAATGTAAATGTGAAGGAATGTGTGTATAACAAAATACATCGGTCATTAAACGAAACCGGAAACAGACGTAGGCAAGATCCTCAGCTCGATGATTGCATGGTTATCCGCAATGCATGCTGGGATTTGGTGTTTATGTGATGTGAAATCTGAAAACGTTTTTAAAAAATACAATAATACTTTATTCCGAGTGTGCTTGCTTTTCTCTTTGAAAGTCATCACATAACGGCTTTGTAATACACGGTTCGGCTGCATTAAATATTACATATCTGCCGTAATTCTCTATTCCCTGCTGAGAAGACTTCTAGACAAACAGGAGAACTGCCGCCAAAACTGAAAACGTGACGTGGATCATATATAAGCAATTAAACAGCATCTTACATTTATTTTCACACAATACGTCTCTTTGCAGTATCAACACTAATTCGGCTGACTTTTATATTTGATCCAATTGGTAGATAGGCTGTATTTACACCATAACCGTGCAGAGCTGATAGAAAGGCACACCTGGTGGTCAAAGCACGTTATTGAATTGTATTATTTTATTATTAGATATTAATAGGAGGATGTGCAAAACAGACAAACTAATAAGGCTTAATTTAAACATTAAAAAGTACTTTAGGTTAAGGTCTTATTTTGAATAAGAAAAAAGCTTTAAGAAGAATATGGAGGGATGAAACCCTCTTGAAACCGCAGGTCCTTCCTTCCTGCAGCGGTCAGACTTTACAACCAGCACTGCCCCTTGTAGACCCTCCTACACACACCACAACACAGACTATAACACCCCTTGCTGCTAAATACAAACCAACTTTGTGCAATATGTGCTATATGTGCAATATATATATGCCATTAATAACTGTGTAATTTACACCTGGCCACTAAATCAATGTATATGCCGTTTTGTTTTTGATCTGTATTT